CTAACAACTGAAAGAAATAGTACTTTGTTGCTTAACTTATTAGTAGTAGTTTTAAACAGACATTTTAAAAATATCCAATATCTAATACACGGGTAAGTAATAAACAACACAATTAAAAGCCACTTAATAGAGGTCCTATCGAACTATAAAATAAAATTCGTTTTTTAATCTAATTTCGTATTATACCATCATTTTATTCCGAAATTTAAAAAATCAGATATAATTTTGTGTGCATTACCGTAATCGCTTTCGTAAGTATATGAACGAAATTGACAAATGACTCGATGGCGTGCGTGTGCCTGTCCGGCCACGTTCAGAAAGGAACACGATTTTTATATATTTAAGGTCTGTATAACATATAGTCTGTGAGCAATTACAAACTTATAAATTAAAAAGCAAATGTTCATTATCATCCTTAGTAACAACTATGAATATACATTGTTATATAAACAAGTATTAAAAAAATTGTTGCATCGTGTCGTAGCATAATCAATTCACTTATATAAATGAAAACTATTGTTACATGACACGACATTATCATGTAAAAGTTTTTATTGTATGACTAAAATTATGTTCTGGACAAAACACATGTACATTGTAAATAATAAATCTCGTCTTTTTCTTCGTGCATGGAACACGTTACCAAGCAGAAAGCATCATCCCATAGTGTGCAACTTAATTCAACACCTTTTTGTAATTATTCAATTAATATAATTATTTCATTTAGATAGATTAAAAGCAAGATGAAATACAGCCCGAACTGATTACTAATTACACTGTGGAACAAATTTTGACCTATGTTATTTTTTGCAATAACCACTATGTGATTCTTATAGAGTTCCTTGCCCTAAATACGAATCCGAAAACCAAATTGCTGGGTCAGGTCCAATTTTCGAAAAAACTGGGGTTTTGTAAAACAGAAGTGCATACAAAGTATCGCGCATCTACCCTTTTTTAAACTTTAATCATCGTTTACAAAGATTTAATCATATGAAAAATTCAAAATTTTTATAGCTACGTGATCGGCAAGTCTCCTTTATTTTTTGCGACAAATTTTAACTGCCTCTCATTTTTAGTTTTCACGTAACACTTGGTTTTCTGAAAAATTCGACCGTTTTTACAAAACCCCAGTTTTTTCGAAAACTGGACCTGATCCAGCAACTTGGTTTTCGGATGCGTATTTAGGGTAAGGAACTCTATAAGAATTACATAGTGGCTATTGCAAAAACTAACATAAGTTAAAATTTGTTCCACAATGTTATCTTTTACAGTACAGCATGATTTTTAAGTGAAATGTAAAGTTTTATGCCAATACACTGATACATACAATGAAAATTTGTCATTGAAAAAAAAACAGAAAATAATACAAATATAATGATATTAAAAAAGTCCAAATTTACATTTGAACCTTTCCCCGACAAAAGTGAAAAATACAGAACGTATGCGGGGATTTTGAAGGTAGGCTAAATGAGTACACACGCGAAAGTTGTATGAATCAAATTGAATTTTTACACGAGAATACAATAAACATATTTGAACGCGCAAGGACAAATCTCGGTCGTTTTAAGATTGAGAATTGAAAAGCGCGGAGACTCAGATTGGACCCGGTATAGCAATAGAAACGAAGAATTGAAGTGACCGATGGAGGATATGGTAGACCAGATATCGACGACACCGGCAAGAGACAAGACAAACTGGATATCGAATATAGATTTTTATCACACAGCCGGGGGGTTACGTGACCCCCTTGCCATTCCTATGTCACGTACAACGTTATCAACGAAGTACAAGTAAATACAAATAAATAAATTAAACAATGTTCTTTTTCATTTTCTTATCGCAATATTAAATTTTTCTAGTTTTATCGAATTACTACATTTTTTCTTATAAAATTCTTTTCGGTCATATAATTAATGTATTAAACATAATAAGATGTACATATATGTTCAAAATTTCTACGCAACCTATACTTAAATGCATAGACATGTTACACGTGTCCTGCGTACATGTCCAAGCCATGTCTGTTAATGTAAATGAAATGAATACACAAATGAAAAGAAAGGAAAATAAAAATAGTAAATTATTTTGCATACGTAATAAAAATATATATTATAAAATTGATATCTTTTCATTCTACTAAACTGCCCTTCTGAAAATATTAAATACAATATATTTCGCATACGTATGAACTATACACTCTTACTGAATCTCGGAGAAGCTTTATTAATGAGTTAAAAGTTTTTTAATGATTTATTTAACTTCATTATCCGATTTATAGCGTGTTTGGACTTGTTTTTACGCGAAAAATTGGTCCCATCGATTCGTGAATATTGCGAATTTGTATTGTAAATGATAAAAGAATATTTTTCAATTAGAAAATCGCAGTTAACTCTGCGTTACAGAGTTCTTCTTGATATTGACCAACAGTCGTTGTCTGACGAAAAGCAACATTAGTTTTGGTAACATTTATTCCTCTTTCATTTCAGTATAGTATATAAGCTTTCCAAAACAATTAATAATTCTTACCGTTCTGTGCATACCATGTAATGCATATAGCGGTAAGAATTATCGGTATCCGAAAATCTGCGCTTTTAACTAGTGGCGACCTTCGTGGCAAAACGCTCAAACTGGTGGACACATGTTACCGATCTTTTCAGAAATTTATACCGTCTGAAGAGACTGAACATCGGCAATTTTTTACAGAAAATGTGATCTATTAATTTTTCATGCTAGTGTATAATTATTATTGAAATCTATATCACGACCTATATTACTTTCTTACTACATAAAAATGTATTGCTGCATTAATTTCATTACGAACTACACTTTTGGACTTGTTTCTTGAGCAGAACCTTAAAGAAACTGATTATACTTTTCTCAGAATTTTAATGTTATTATTTTAAAACGAAATAGATATAATAAGAATTTATGTATCATTATAATGTTCAGAAGTAATGTTCAAACTGAAACTATCATTTTCTTAAAAAATTCACTTTTTTCTGATCAATATAATGGAAGAACAAACTATATATAATTAATATCTTTTGAAATAAAAACTATTGTTGAAAATACTAAATGTCGTGACGGTAGTTAGTTTGATATAGTTGTATACAAAACTATGTAAAACTATTTGAAACTGTATGAAACTGTGTTATGTCGCGTAACATTTGCCAGCGACGTAAGATCACCGTTGGGAGATTCATTATTAAAACGCGCACTAGACTCTTCAGTCAATTCCTTTTCATCTTTTTACACTCGGCTTCTAAGGCTTAATGTAACAATCACGAGACGAGGAGGAAAAGGCTATTAAAGGTTTTCTAAATTTCTGCCCTTCTTGCAGCGACAGACAGTTGCTCATAGTTCTGTATCGTGATTTTTCGTTTATAACTTTCGGGAGAATTGATTACGGTTTCTTGCAAACTTATTTAACACATGCTGAAGATTTCAGTCGCCGCATGAGTCCGCTTTTACTTGGCGACTCCTGATCGCCAGGAACGCGGTCACATACGCAACAGTTTCACCCTAAAGGAGAGTATTCCTCCACCACTGAGTCGTGGAGGTGTCTCTACGATGGCCTACCCCTTCAGGGTGAAAACCTATCAAAATACGTAAAACTTCAAACTCGAAGGAAAGACGCTCTTCAAAAAAACTTATAAATCAAATGGTGCACAAAAATCGTCAAATAATGATTTATCTCGCCACAATCACTGGTAGGCTACTACAATTCTAATTCGCTGCAAACCTTTGCGGGCCATAATTTTGCCGCTCTTCGCGGGCCTTACCCGCCGTTAACACGTGGAGGAACAAAACTTAATCATAGATAATCATCTTCACCACTTTAAAAAGTTATGAGGAAAGTTGAAGTTTGAACAAACAATATCACTGCTTTAAATAACTTTTTAATTACCTTAGAGGAGGGAAATTTATGAAAAACCCCGTCAAAAATATAATAATTGTAAATATTTATTGTAATCCATCATAAAATACCGCTATCAATAATTTGTTATTAAATCAGAATTTAACACATTCATCTAAATGCTATAAAGAAGAACCAATAATTCTTAGGGGAGCTAAGACATAAAACGGTTTACTTAATTATAAACAAAATAATTAGAAACACCAATATAGCTGTCAACACTCCAATGGCTACCCATTGCCTCCGATCTAAAACAAACGGAAAGTAACATCACATGCGTCACTTATAAAAAAAGTCGTTAGAATCACATGATTTTATTGGCGTTCATTGAACGACGATAAAATTGAATCAGCGAATTGAATATCGTATTCGAAAAAATCAGTGCTTATATATTTGGCCCTTCTTCAAACGATGAACATTGTACATTAATTTTAACATGCACTCCTTTAACAAACATTTTGTAACAACTTTATAAACTCTGTATTGACACTTTGCACTGAATGTTTTATAAATCGAATGTTATCGAATAAAAATAATTTACGTATAAACAAACATTATTCTTTTGATTTCCATTTAAACGGAAAATTTAGAGTGCAAAGAATCAATATTTTAAATAATTTTAATATATCAAATGATTATTCGTACATTAAATGAACACGAATCACAAAAGCTTAAAAAACAATAACTGTCATGTACATTAATGGTCGTTAAACTGCAGACATATGCGCATAAAAATTATTTTCATACAAACAGATATAAGCTAAAATTTAAAAAAATAACAAATTTATAAACGCGCATTCACAAACATATTCTAAGTGGAAAAGATTATATTCTATGATTGAGAGGTCTTCTATCACAAACTAGCATAAATTAAATACAAAAAATACAATTGAAATAAAATACTTGATAAATTATTCTTTAATTAAAATTAAATAATATTATGCAAGTTAATTTCTCTCAAGCACAGAATTTAATATAACAAGATCTTATATATATAAACTTACTACTGTAACTATAATTGTTATTTAAACAGCTTTCTGGATTAGGAATTTGTGGTACTTTATAGTAACATGTACAGTATAAATAAAGTCGTAAATTTTATTCATCAGTATCTGTTTTCACAATTGGTCATTTATGAGAAATAATAAAGTATATCTTTTCCTTTTAAGTTTTAATTACATACTAGAATAAACAATTTCTGTTCTGGTATGAATTCACAACAACATTATATTAATAACACTCTTCTAACATTGGAATAAACGTTTCATTACCTAAGTTTCATTGTTTCTTTTTCTAATTCTGAACTGTAATCTTTCTATAGTGGAACCTCAAATTATTTGCGGTCGTTAAATATCATAGCATTCGTGAACAATCTTCTACTATGTGAACAATCGTTCGCATTGACAAACAATCGATCAGCAGCAGCTATCATACGTACAAATAAGTGTTTTTACATGTTTTTCCTCCCGTGTTTTTAAACATTTTCTTTTTCCAAACAATATAGTTTCATTTACATTCAATGCACACATAATCTGACTGGTAATTTCGCAATACCATGTGTATTCCACAATACTGTGTACTAATCTATTTTTATCTACATATCAATTAATATGGTAATATCACATGTTGTGTACATTGGAAGTAGAAGTATCAGAGATTTCAAATCATCTTCAAAATGGTTTTCTATTGCACTATGCATATATGTCTAGAGGTGTACATTAAAATTTTCCCAAGCACAAGTGACTTGTGCTACTTTTCCTAGTTTTTGACACTTGCCTTACAATATTTGGCATATAATTTTTTAATCCATATGTAAATGATGTACTTAAATATAATCTGTTATTTACCTACAGATTTTTTGATATACAATGTTTCAACATGTTTTTATTAATACTATCATTGAATGGCAATATATTACACCTATTAGTGCCTATTTTACTACATACATAATTAGTATTTTAACTATACTTGAATAGGTGTAGTTGAAGCTAATAATTAACTTTGCTCTGACTATATCTGGTCCATTTTTATCCTACATTTCTTACATTTACCATGTTAAAATAAACAGATTTTTGTAAATGATCAACTTTTTCCATAGGTTCCAACAATCATTTACATACAAAATTAGTCATTATTTTTTCTTCTTTGTATTATAATGAAAGCATAAATAGATATAATGCTTTCATAACTTGTACTGTCTAAATGAATGTAACGTTAACGAATAAATTGAGAGAATATATATGAAAAACGAGAATTGAAATATAAATTTCCAAACTTGATAGATTTATTGAAATTACTGCAAAATATTGTAGTTCAAATATTTAAAGAAAAACTATAGCAGAGGAATATTTTAATAGTCAGGTAATGATTACTACTAAATATTTGTACTAACTTTTACTTTTATTTTATGGTCATAACATACTTTTACTATACCATTAACATTCTCTTGAAAATTCAATTACTTAAGTTTTTTTGTTAATTAGTTAGACACATGTGAAAATATTTCAAACAATATACGAGTATTATTAAATTAGTAAAATAGAAGTATTTCTTCAGAAGAAATACATAGAAAGCTAGTGTAGTAAATATTATAAAAAATTTATTTTAATATTTATTGATTAAATAAAATAATCATTTTAAATCTCTTCTTGAAATTTTATTTCAAATTTAATGAGACTTCTACCCTCCAATAACTTACTCTTTGGTTTTGTCATGTATCAATTAAATTAATAAATAAAGAGTTAAAGTGCAATAGTGCTAAATATTAAAATCAATTAGTTTGTAAAGTGTGAAGAAAAGAAGAATTATCCATTGGTGAAACTAATATGCAATGTTATTTCAAAGATAAAATGAATGACCAATAGCAGATTTCTTTAGAAGTCCCATAATTTTTCAGTAAATGTAAAATTATTGATATCACGCTAGATGAAAATTAAATATAATAAGGCATAATTAATAATATAAATATGTTTAAATGAATTTAGACAAAAAAAATAACAGAGTAACGAAATGCAAAAATAATATTTCTATTTTATACATTGTACTGAATAATTATGGTGAATCTTTGATAGTACTTTTTTAATCTCCAGAACATAAAAAACAGTTAGTTATTGTACTTGATAAGGATGATAGAGAAGAAGGTTTAGAGGCAAGATCAGAAACACTAGATGTTGCAGTAGTAGGAGCAGGAATGTAATTATTATAGTTACCATTACTCATATGAAGAACTTTGGCCATTTTTTTCATTGTTGCATCCAACTTAGAATCTGTCACCTCTAACTCATTACCAAATTCATCTAGCATACTGAAACATAAGAAGAAATTTTTAATTAAATATAGTTTTACTTGTAAAATAATTTGATTATATTCAGTTAACATTATTATTTATCCTACTTACACTGCTTGTTCATCTAATTCAGTATTGATTTGCCTAGATACTGTTTTAAGTGTTCCAATACTTTCTCCAATCATGTCTAATTGTTCGTCTTGTTGTCTTATCATCTCATTTTGCTGTTGCAATGTATCTCCCAAAAACTGCCTATTAGGACTATCAATTTCATTTTCCAATTTACTATATTTAGTTGTACCATGGTTGACAGGAACACGGGCAGGACTATTGTCCAAAAGCGGCTGTGGCATAAACAATAAAATTATATAGCCTTTAAAAAATGATTACTTAACATGGCGACTAAAAAATGTTATTAAACCAAAATTATTTTACTAACAAACCGATAAATGTATTTATATTTTATGTATTATCACTACATAAAAGAAATGATTCTTTGTGAACTGGCTTTATATGATTAATAATAAGAAGTATTGATTTACCGTGTAAACCATTTCTTTCTCCAGTGGACTTTTTATAATATATTTCTGTTATATTCCATCTAACCGCGTATTTATTCGTAAAACTATAAAAGCAAAACGTACCGTAAATAAAAAAAAATAAACCTAGCTCTTAATCACTTTTAACAACACTGCTACGACTAAATGTTCAGAACTGATTAGCATTACATATCGGCAATTTGACAGCTTTGTACAGATGTCGCGACAGTGCACAACTTTATTTTGCGAGCGAAATTTAAATACGCGAATCACAAATGATTCGCATAACAGTTACATGCTTGTTTTTAAATTAATTAGACGTATTAGAAACTTCCGTGGCATTAATTACGGGTAATTATACCTTTACACTTACTTCTTTAGTAGTATTTAGTGACAATGAACAACTAACGCAAGTTAATTTCTGAACTTACTCGTGTATTTAAAAAGAAATAAGTAAAATGTAAAATAATATTTTCATGCATTTCTATAGTTAAAAACTATAAATATAATAATTTATATAACATGGAATTATTACGAACCTGCCTTGCTGTACTGTCACGATCCCGACCTCTACTTAAATTCATTTTATCCTTCATGATCTACAACAAATTATTTGTTAAATGAATTATATATTATTTTATTCTTAA